TATTTATTTATTTATTTATTTATTTATTTATTTATTTATTTATTTATCTTTGGCTACGTTGGGTCTTCGTTGCTGTGTGGGGGCTTTCTCTAGTTGCAGAGATCGGGGGCTACTCTTCGTTGTGGTGCCTGGGCTTCTCATCACGGTGGGTCGGAGCATGGGCTCTAGGCACATGGGCTTCATTAGTTGTGGCACACAGGCTCAGTAGTTGTGGCTCGCGGGCTTAGTTGCTCCATGGCATGTGGGATCTTCCCGAACCAGGGATTGAACCCGTGTCCCTGCATCGGCAGGTGGACTCTCAACCACTGCGCCACCAGGGAAGTCCCCTCTACTCAGTTCTTATTCCTCTATTTTGACATACATTGTTTCATTTAACTCCTACAGCAAGGTAAGCATTACATCCTTATTTTACAGAGGAGAAAACTGAGATTCAGGGTATCAAAGCATCTTGCCCAACTCAGAATTGCTTAACCAAGAATGTTTATTGTGGCCTTTCCAGAAAAAACACAAAATGGTGGTGAGGCATCATTGTGCCCGGAAAAGAAGTGGCAGAAAGAAGAGCTGGAGCTATGTACCCTAGGGTCTTGCTTAATTTCTGTCCTTAAAGCGTAGCGCCAGAGCCTGGACACGTTAGATACTCCTGAATCAAACCTATTTGGAGCCTAAGCCTGGACACCGGCTTTTCCTGCTGATTGGGGATTCCTTTAATCTCCCATCAAGCACAGTTGGGAGGAAGGGTCTTAAGATGCTCCTGTCATCTTTCACAACAAATTTAACACGACAAAATAAGAAAGCTAGGATGCTCTTTCCTCACCTCCCTTTTATTATTATTTTTTTTGGGGGGGTGTCCTTTCCAGTCTCTTTCCTCCCAGAACTGGGAGCCCAGGTTAAGTCCTACCACTTCCACTCCCACCCCTTCACCACCCCCAGGTTCCCAACTGCGGGGTCGCGGTGCTTTGCCCTCCAGTTTCTTCGCCCTTCACCCCACGGCGCACCTGAAGTCCCAGCCTCGTACCAGTCGCGACCTGCTTCCCGTGAGCCTCTGCTCCCGGCCCCCAGGGCGCATATTCCCTACCCAGCAGTCCTCGCGCGGCCCGGAGGAGCGGACAGCCAGGACTTCAAGATGGCGTCAATCGGTAAGTTTCCGGATCTGTTTAGGGCTACCAGGTTAAAGGCAGGAGTCGGGGTTTGGGGTCCAGTGCTCAGAGCCGCACTTGGAGGGGAGGGACCGAGTGCCGGAGCCGCCTGCCCTTCGCTCAGGACCTTCGCCGCGCCGGGCCCTTTGCCCAGGGTCCCACGCCGTCCAACCCTTCTTAGCTCGCCCCGCCGCGCCTCCCGCCTGCCCAGGGTCCGCGCCACTCGGCTGTGGCGGGGAGGGCGACGGCAGCTCGGCGAGGCGCCTCGGGTCTTGAGAATGCGCTGTCTCGGGCCACCCCTCCTCTCCCCGCTGAGGAATAGCTGCTCTCAGCCCTGCCGCAACCCAGGCGCTTGTTTTGCACCTGAGCCCTCCGCGCAAATTCGAAGCTCAAATTAAGTTCCAAGAGGAGCTAATGCCTAGGATGGTGCCTGACACCACGTCGAGTTTGACGCATGTATATATATGTTGAATAGCGTTAGAGAGGTGAAGTGACCTATTCAAGGTCACTATTAGTGAGTGGGCTGAGCTGGGATACAAACCTAGGTTTCTGGGGCCTCGTGGTAACCTGAGCTTTAATCACAAGGGTGATCTTATGACCAGCAGGCTTTACGATGACATGCATGTATAAATCGGACCGTTCACACTGGGTTTTTTTTTGTTTTTCTTTTTAAATACGAAAGCCACCATGTTTTAGCCCTGCATCCTCACCGTAGCCTTGTCAGGATCAGTGCTGGGAACGTTGATCCCATTTTAAAGATGAGGAAAATAACGGTTAGAGATGTGGTGTGGCTTGCCTGCTGTCACACAGCGTGACAGTGGCAGAATTTTGACTAATCTATGTGTGTCTTACCCCAGTTTCTATATTCTTATTTTCAGCCCGGAGAAATGAAAAGGGGATCAAAAAATATGAGAGTGATGCTTTTTTCCCATCTGTTAAAACGGGCATGAGAATATTTATCCAGGGTGGTCATGTTGTTTAAACAGACAACATGTGAAAAGGAAGCATTGAGACTTGGTATCTTATTTAAGCAGAGGGTTGTAGTGGAGATGGAGAGTCCTATGAACTAAGGGTTAAACAACTTAGTATATGTAAGGTGCTTGTAACACTGCCTGACCCACAGTTGAATGCTAGTCGTCCAGCTTTCCCTGCGTGACCTTTGGGTAAGGTCATGTCACACCTGGCCCATTCAGCATCACGCAGGTGAAGGAACTGGAGTCCAAGTACTGATGATCTTTCAGATGGTGTCTGTTGCCAGAGCATAACGCCACTAGTCCATTAGCAAATAAAGTGATGGAAATACCAATTAACAGTGATAGATGAGATCAGGTTGACAAAGTATGGCCAATGGGCTGGATTTCATGTGGCCTGTTTTTGTATGCTGTGAGCTAAGAATAGTTTCTGTTTTTTAAAAAATTTGTTAAGGGACTTCCTTGGTGGTCCAGTGGTTAAGACTCCACCGCAGAGGGCACGGGTTCGATCCCTGGTCGGGGAACTAAGATCCCGTATGCTGCACGGCGCAGCCCAAAAACATAAAAATAAAAAAAATAAAAATTTGTTAAAAAAAGACTATGTTAGAGACCTTGTGTGGCCTGCAAAACCTAAAACTCTTTGCTCTGGCCAACCCCAGAGTTGGATTTAGCACCCAGAAGACACTTGGCATTTCCATGTCTCTCCATATAGGTGGACAGTATGCTTCTTGAAGTCATAAAATCAAGCCAAGTAGTCACCTGCCCTCCCAAGAACCTGTGGTCCTTTCTCAGCCTTCACTGAAAATCTGTCATAAACAGGAACTGTGTGTGGGGAACTCCCTCCCACCTTTACATAGCTCATAAGCAGAAAGACAGATAATAATTCCTATTTACATAGTACCTAGAGCTAAGGTGGGTACTATTCTTACCCTTATTTTACAAAGGAGGAAACAGAGCAGTATCTTGCCCAAGGGCACACAGCTTCAAAGTGGCAGTAAATCCAGAATACTCCATGGTAGAGTCTGCTCTGTTCATCAGCATGCTCTACTGGTGTGAACCAGCCGCTGCAGAGGAGTGTTGGGGGAGGGTTTCAGTATGGCTGCCAATGACTAAGGCCTTTGCCTTCCACTAAAAGAGAAACTTCGGAATAAGTGTAGATGCATCTCTGATGAATCTGATGGTCTCTTGGAATTTTGTGATGGTGCTGTACTTGGCTCTCCTTAAGGCTAATGTGATTTTTTTTTTCTGTGCTTATAAATTTCTTAGTTTTGGTTATGGAAATGCTGTTTTCTTCATAGTACAGAGATATAAATATGAAGAAAAATAAATTGTTGGCTTTTTTCTCCTGTGATGTGCCAAGGCACTGTGTCAGCCCCTGAATATGAGAATGAGAATATGTTTTCATAGTTTGTGTGAATGTGAAAAAATAGCTTCACTGGGCCTAGCAGTGACCTAAATACTTTTTTTTTTGAGTCACCAGCCTTATACCAGTTGAAAATATTTTTTAAATTCTATGTTTCTCTTGCACATTTCCCCAACATAGTTCTATTTTTAAAATTATTTATTTATTTTTGGCTGCATTGGGTCTTTGTTGCTGCTTGCGGGCTTTCTCTAGTTGTGGCGAGCGGGGGCTACTCTTTGTTGTGGTGCGCGGGCTTCTCATTACGGTGGCCTCTCCCATTGTGGAGCACGGGCTCTAGGCATGCGGGCTTCAGCGGTTGTGGCACGTGGGCTTCAGCAGTTGTGGCTCGTGGGTTCCAGCAGTTGTGGCACGCAGGCTCTGTAGTTGTGGCTCACGGGCTTTGTTGCTGCACGGCATGTGGGATCTTCCCTGACCAGGGCTTGAACCCGTGTCCCCTGCATTGGCAGGCGGATTCTCAACCACTGGGCCACCAGGGAAGTCCCAACATAGTTCTATTTTTAAAAGCATTTTCAACCTTTTTATTATGGAAGACTTCAAATACAAAGAAAACAGAATAAGGTAATGAATGCTTTGTATTCGTTACAGAGCATCAACAGTTAGCAGCATTCTGCCATTCTAGTTCCATCTGTCCCTTTATCGTCCCCTCCCTACCACATTGCCATATTTAAAGCCAGTTGGTATTAGAATGACATGTCTGTACTCCTCCCTGCATGCAAGAAGACTTTGAGAGTGTAGCAAAGGTAGCCACCATGTTCTTACTCAAGAGACGTGGTATAGTAATTCTTGGACTAAAAGCCTACTAATTCAAGTGATGACAAAACTGGGATGTAAGATGTGTACTTGTTAAACTTTTCTTGAAATAACACAGGCAAGGTGACAGAGTAGGGTATAGGTCATTCTCAGATGACATTATTGTTTGGTGTTGAGCTCAATATCATTGACACTCAATATTCCTGATTTGGAACATTCCTGAAATTCATTTGAGACTATCTCACATTTCAAAAGTATTACCAAACTAATCACAGTTTGTGTTCATAAAAGAACTAAAGGGTGCAGTTAATCCCTGAAGCCCTATAAATGTCCTAAAGTTCAGTTATTTGCCATTTCTTCCTCTGCCACCTCCCTTTTTTTTTCTTGGATGTTTCACATGGACCTTAAAGAAATTTCAACAGTAATAATAACAGCTTACAGTTCTGAGCATGTTCCAAATGCTTTTACATAGATTCTCCTTCAAACCTTGGAATAAGCCATTTCACAGAGGAGGAAACTGAAGCTCAGAGGTTACATAGGAAGGAAGTGCTGGTGCTTGAGATAAGGCGGGCAAGGCAGGAGGCCTTCTAGGAGATGACGGTTAAGTTGAGATAGCCCTGTGATGATCCAGGGGCACTGCAGATACAAAGGCCCTCAGGTGAAAATAATCCTGTTGCATCTGAGAAACAGAAAAGGGTTTGGCTGAAGTGTGGTGAACCCAGGAGGATGAGTGGATTTGAGATGGCTGCCTTTCTCGATGGAATGCTGGCTTCTGAGCACAAGGCTGTCATCTGCAGTCAGTGCTGTACCCACAGTGCTTAGCAGGCTGCCTAGCACACAGTAGGTGCTCCATGTGTTTGGATAAGTCTAGATGGAAGGTTGGGGCCAGTTTGTTGGGGACAGGCCACCTGAACCATGACCCTAAAACCAGGTGTGCCTCCACCTGTCACTTGTGACCTCTTGACAAGCAGTCATTCTGGTCCATCAAGGCCATGTGTCTCATTCTCCAGACAGCCTGTAGCAGAGTAGAAGCTGCCATTAAGCCTGAAGGCCCTTGTCCTTGATAAGGGTTGGGAGACGTCAAGAGACCTGTAGGATTCCCCTCAGTGGACTCTTGAGGATGGTCCTTAAGGAGCCTGAGTCCCAGCATGCGGGATCTTAGTTGCAGCATACGGGATCTAGTTGCCTGACCAGGGATTGAACCTGGGCCCCCTGCATTTGGAGCACAGAGTCTTAGCCACTGGACCACCAGGGAAGTCCCCAAACAGCTTTTTAAAGTTGATCTTTTGGAAGAGGACAGGGGAAGAAAGATTCTCTCCTTAAGAGCATCTGGATATTCACAGGGCCAACCCCTCCCTGGCCCCCTTCCTATGTTACTCTTAAGCCCAGAGATGAATACAGTATGGCCTCAACCAGGAGCCGTTCCTGTCCCCAGATTCTCATTGGAAAATGATCTGGGGCCTGTTGGGTCTTTAGAGTGTTTTTTACTAAGTCATTTGACATCTGTGGTCTGAGGTAGGATGCTTGAGGTAGAAATCAGATTGGCTTCAGGAGCATGAGAGCCAGACCTAAGGTGGAACCCTGCCTCCATGGCCTGCATGCTGTGTGCCTTTGGCCAAGATGTGCCCAGCTTCTCTGTCTCCCCCACTCCTACTTATAAAGGCATCTGTCCTCTGCTTTACCTCTTCCTCATGGCCCTTAGTTCTCTTTTTACATAGTTATTCCCACCAAGCTTTTATTCAAAAGCCTGTTCTGCCATTATATAGACTCTGGCTTAAAATAGTATATCTGGTGTGACATGTTTATTTATAATATTGCTCATATGCAGCCTCTATTTAGTAATGTTACTGAATGCACCTTTATTGAATGGTTGAAATAAGTGACACAGAAGGTTGCTGTTTGTGTTATTGGGAGACCTTCCAGTGTGTGTTTTTTTGCACTTCCTTTTCAGTACCGCTGAAGGACAAGAAGCTCCTGGAAGTCAAACTAGGGGAGCTGCCAAGCTGGATACTGATGCGGGATTTCACCCCTAAAGGCATTGCTGGAGCATTTCAAAGAGGTCAGAGCCTTAAGGGCATGTGTAAATAAAAGCACATCTCTGCGTCTTCAGGGCAAACAGGTCTTTCTTTGCCCTGAATTACTTTGGCCAGTACAAGCCTTGTCTCAGACCAGTAAGTTATGTAGAGAAGGACAGAGCGAGATTGTTAGCCCTCGAATTTCCATGTTTGATCGGTCCTATCAAAGGCTGGCTCTGAGATATTTCAGACAAGGAAATGTTTTCTATTGCTTGGAATCGGTACCAGTACCTCTGTCTTAAAGAAATGTCATAAGACTTAAGAGGAAAATGAGTTGGAAGCACAGGGGACATGAGTCTATAATGCTCATCTCCCTGCCAGGCAGAACTTTCAAGATGAGTATTTGAAATGGTCTATCCTTCAGGTCTGTGCATTTTAAAGTGCAGAGCAGTCCTGTGTCATCATGTCATCATCCTTTGGGAGCCTGTGTGGTTGCCAGCCTCCTCAGGGGCCCCCGTCTTGATATTTTTCTCTATATAATTCTGGCTACCCTGTGGCTGTCTTTTGTGTACTGTTTCTTCCTGCCCCCAGGCCTTTCCTCAGCTTTGCCCTCTCCTATTAGAACATGTAGAATGTGCCCTCAGAGGAGTGGCCTCCTCTCCGCTTTGCAGGTTACTACCGGTATTACAACAAGTACATCAACGTGAAGAAAGGGAGCATCGCTGGGCTTTCTATGGTGCTTGCAGCTTACGTGCTTTTCAACTACTGCCGTTCTTACAAGGAACTCAGTGAGTCTCTTCTGGGTTGGTTTGCCTTCAGTGGGGTTTCCCATGACAGGGTGGTATTGGTTCACTTTCAACCTTATAAGTCCATCACCCTGCAGACAAGCTGATGACTTGGAGGGACTTTTCAGAATATAGCATATTTTAAATGCAAAAATTGTGGCAAAGAGAAAGACAGGAAAAATAAGATGAAGCTGGGGTAAAGGTAATACTTAGGCAGCATTCTATCAGCCACTGCAGGCTCTGCCAAAGGTTGGTGGAAAACTTGGCTTTATCTTCCTAGCAGCCAGTGTGAAGAGGGAAATAGGTTGAGTGCTACAGTCCAGTGTCTGTGTGGTGCTCTGGAAAAGCGTGGCTGTTCCTGGTGCTGAGACATGAGAGGAGTTGGTCTGGTGGGAGATGTCTGGTGGCCGCTGAGTGGGCTTCATGGGCTGTTTCTGCCAGTGTCAAGCCACCTGCCACTCTGTGGCATCCAGAGCAGTGCTGGCCCTGAAGGGTGGGCGCTTGGGTGCTGTTTTTCTGAGTGGGTGTTCCCTCAGGGAAGGAAGAGGCTGGCCAGGTGGCAGATTAGCTGTAAATTCCACAAGTAGGTTCTGGGTCATCTCCTGAAAGGAATTCTCAGGATGGCTTCACCCCCACCTGTGAAGAAACTTACCATTTTGCCTTTCTAACTTCAGAACACGAGCGGCTACGCAAGTACCACTGAAGAGGGCGCACTCTGCATTCCTGACCATGACCTTTGCCTGGCACCCCTGAATCCTTTTATATCCTAGTGGAGAATTAACACCCAATAAAAGATGACTGGTACGCGGACTGCCTCACTGGTTCAGCCATTTCCCTGCCCTATAGGAGCTCCTGTTGCACAAGGTGGGGTGGGGTCATTCTGCAGCTTCTAGACAGCCCAGGGCTTTGAACCGTGGAGCTTCAAGATCTCGTCCCAGTGTGCTGGGGGGTCACCTAGAGCCTCCGCCAACAGTGCCGAGGTGTTTTCCTGCTCTGTGCCTCATTTTTGGCCTTTTGTCAGCTGACACTTTCACAATATAAAGCAGAAACCCTCGTTTCTAAAAATGCCCTCCCCTTCCCCATCTTTCTGCACCATCCTGGGGTATTGGGGTATCAGGGAATTGGGATGTGTGGGACCCCCTGGTCCTGGTAAGTAAGCTTCACTTGCAGGAAGCTCAATGGGATGATGGAGGTGGGAAGGGAAAGCACAGGCCCTGATAGGAGCTCTCAACTGCTGTATCCAGCACCCTCTTTATCCTTCACGAAGGCCTTCAGTAATGTGATAATTAAGGTCAGAATCAGTTTCTTATTAGGGGGTGTGCGATAAGCATATATACTTCATGGAGTATAGGATGAGATGCTGTGGCTAATTATCAAGATGTGAATTTGAAGGAACAAGTATTCAACATCAGAAATAAAGGACATCTGCCAGGTGGCTGGCCCAAAGGCCAGGCTTCCAGACTGTACAGGCTGCCAGTACAAAGGCCTTTTCTTCCTCTGACAGCATCACTTCCGGTCGTGAGACACACTCACCAAAAGCGGAAAAGCGAGCACCAATGTCAAAGCTTCGTGCCAGGCAGCTAATGCAGCCAGTAGCAAGAATCCTCTCGGCATGGAGTCCCCGAAGTAATGAGACAGAGCTTAAAAAACAAGCTTTAATCAACTTCATAAAAATTGTTCTTGTAATTGAACTTGAATAGGCCCACTTGTCCAGCAGGTTGCAGGTGCCAGTTTCATATTTCCAGGCTCAGAGGCAGGGTCCTCTCCTCTAGGCCAAAGGTGTCTGACGGTGCAGATGCTTGATGGGGCAGGAGGTAGGTGCACAGATGGACTGCATCGTCTATTTCAAGGGTGTCTGCAGCCCCAGCTTAAGGTATACCTTAAACACTGTTGAGCAAGTGCCCCGAGAAAATAAGCCCAGAGGAAAAAGGCCATCACACTGAAGAGCCCTACATGGTCCTCTCAACTGCTGCCACCCTGGAGCGGGACCGGCAGAGGCAACTCCACACTTGCTTGCTCTGAAGGGCTGTCTCGTTCAAATCACATGGATAGGCACGGCCTCTGATCAGCAGGACAGGGCGGAAGCAGGTGTGACTTGGCCACAGCTTTAAATGATCCAGCAGCCCCTGGTGTTTAAGGAGGCCCTGAGGGGAAGGGCCACCTTCCTCACAGAACTGCTGCGCACAAGCCCTTCCCCACAACGTCCTCCCTCCCCAGAGGGTGGTGTGCAGAGTCCCAGATGGGAGGCCTTGATGCCTAGACAAACATGATCCCAACTTGAGGGACCGAACTGGAGCACATGTCCCCCTTAAAAAAAAAGATTACAGCAAAATGATAGGTAAACTGACAGATGTAGCCCCTCAGAATAAAACCCAGTATGCCTGCCTGCCAGCTCCAGCCAGAGTTGTACCAGCATCAAACAGTTGAATGCACACTCCCAAAGATGGCCCAGAGTGGTCCCCAATAACGGGGCCCCTCGGGCTGCTCTGAGCTGGCTCCAGCTGCTGTCACTGTCCACTGAGAAAGGCCAAGTGCCCTTTGGTGCATCTGTTGGCGTAGTGTCCTTTTTCACCACACTGCAAACAGCAGGAAGGGAAGGAGGAAACAAAAAAAACACATTGTTTCAAATGCAATTTTCAACTAAGGCAGCACCCGCTAAATTCCAGGTTGGGAGCAGGGACTCTGAAATTCTCAGCAGCACAAATTTTCATTCAAACACGAGGGAAAGGGAGGTCCAGAGGTAGAGTGGCACAGAAACCGCAGCCAGCAGCTCAGCAGGTGGAAGGGAGCACGCAGGCCACGGCGGACTCTTGTGGTGGGGGGTGGGGTGAAGAGAAGCCCGTGGCACCACAGCTCTCCTGCCTCTCCAGGGACCAAGCCCCTCTGCATGGCTGGCCAGTCACTTACCTCTAAGGCACAGTTCTGGGACTCCCCTGAGACAGGGGAGGCGGCAACACAACAGAAGCCACCAGGCTCCTCCCCCAACTCAGGGATTCACTGCGTGGACAGAGGGTGGGCTGCACCCAAAGATCTTTCCCTCCTGGCTCGTGCATACTTTTGCCTACGCTACCCCTGGGCCAGGTTTGGGTCACAGGATCAGAGACACGGGACAATGATTAGACTTGGGGGAAGAGACCCGGTAGAATCACTTCAAAAAATCTAGCAGGACCCTGACTTGTCCCGGCTGATTATCCATACCCTTCCTTAGCTTCTCCTCATTCGTTCTTGTTACTCCTCAGAAAGCAGAAGGGAATTACAAGGAAGTGGCAGCCTCGAGCACTGAACAAGGGGTCGGGAGACACGTCGGGGCACCCAACCCGCGCTAACCCACCCAGGGCCCTCCCAGTCCTTGCTTCCTTGGTCTGGAACTCGGGGCTTTGGCCTGTTCTATTCCCCCGACTGCACAGTCCCCACGTTTTCAAGTCTTTCTGATCTGTAGGTGTAACTTGTGTGGACAAGTGGCCTGTGTAGCTGCCAGCTGGACCTTTGGCAGGTGTGACAACCAGAGGGAGGGACTCCGCGGCCCCGCGTGCTGCCCTTGGCCTGTCCACTGGCCTCTGCGGCTGGTCCTGGGGAATCAGGGTTCCCCTGAGATGGCTTTAATATCAATTGTGCCCGTGGTAGGAAGAGGTTGTTAGGTTCGTCCCCTACCCCCAGCCCCATCTTTCTAAGGTTCCAGGACTCAGGAGAGCTTGCTTCAGAGGCCCTGCCGACAAGTCCTGGAGGAGGCAGGACAGCTCAGCTGACTCAGGACACCCAAGTCTCCTCACTGTACTTGAGAGCTGTCTGGTCTCCCCTCACCTTCTTCCACAGCCCCCCCTTCCATACTCTCCTCACCTGTTAGGGCTCAGGCTCAGCCATCTCTGGGAGGCCTTCCCTACATGCGTGGGCACTTTTAACTTTGGTGTCTGGGCACCTGCCTTCCACTCCCTCAGAACACAGACCCCTCCCGGGAAGGAGTGACAGCAGTGGGTTTCCGCGCAGAGCCGACAGAGCAGGTGCTCAATGAGTGTCTGATGGCTGTGGGAAGTGACCTGTGGCTCAGCTCTTCCCAAAGGCAAGTTCTAGGAACAATACAGGCATATGCTTTTTGACTTGGCCCTTCTACTTGTAGGCATGGATGCTCCAGACACCAGACAAGAGCTCACAAATGTCTGTCAGATTCAGCACTATTTTTAGCAGCAAAAACTATAACTTAATAGTTTACCGGCGGAGAACTGTTTACCAACAGAGAACTGGTAAAATTATGTAGCCACTGAAATACATTAGAGTTACTTATACCAACACAGAAAGATCCAGAATATGTTATAAGGAAAAAGGAATTACAGAACAGTGTACATACTAGGGCCCTATTTATATTAAAATATATATTGTCCTTGTGCTTGTGTGAATAAAAGTTTAGAAGAGCACTCCTCTGAGTGGAGTCCCCTGTAGGAGTTGTGGAGTGTAAAGGGGTATTGAAAACAAAACATGAGAACAGAACAGCTGAGTAAAAGTGGCTCTTTTAGGAAAGTGGTGGGAATAAAGGGCAACACTCTGTACGCTAAACACTTCTGTATCATCTAAAAGTTTTTACAGAAAGCATGTACTGATTCTGTATTTCATCTAATAATCTCCACATCTGAAATCTTTGTGAGTCTAGTTCTGTTGGTGGTTTCTGCTGACGGTGGTGCTTGTTTCCTTCTACCATTTTTATTATGAGCTCATTCTGGGGAACCTTAGTTGTGGGAATTCTGTGTGGCCTGGGTTGAGAATAAATTTCTCAAAGTCGGGTGCCAGGGGCTCACCCATCCGGGGCTGTTTTAGATTAGAAAACTCAGTCTGTGGCTATTTGGCCCTCACCAAGGCTGTGAACACAGGCCCAGACTCAAGGAAGGGCCTGCCAGTGACGACAAACTCAGAAGGGCTTTTCTCCCCACCCCCCTTTGCATCCTGAGCCGAGAGTGAGATGGACAAGTTTTCCAGTAAGTTTTTAAAAAGTTTACCCTTTCCCTGAACGTCCCGTTTTGTGAGTGGGTGGGGGTGGAGGTTCTACTCCATTTCCTCCCCACGCGGGCCTAAAGCTTCTGTCCCTTTCCTTTGGGTGTGCCCATCTGGGATATGAGGACACCCAGAGGCTTCAGGGCTCACTCTGTTCCTTGGATTCGTGCTCCCACTTCGTTCCCGGCCTCTGGAAGGTTCCCATCCCTTTCTTGCAAGCACAATCCTTTCATTCAACAGCGTGTGTTTAATTGTTCACCTGGCCTTAGTGTGTCGTGGATGGAAGTAGCATGGTCTCTAGCTCACTGGAGTGGCCCAGTTTTACTCTTTCAATCAGCAAAAACAAAGATGTCTTCATTCTTCAAAATCAGCTAACTCTCTGGGGAATGAGGGAATAGCCACTGACTGTGAAGACCCCCGGCCACACCCCCGGCCCCAGGACTCACCTTGTAACAGGTGACCTGCTCCAGCGGCCGGGGTCCCCGGTTGCCTGCGCTGCTGTTTTGACTCTGCATGACCCCGATGACCTGCGGGGCTCTCTGCTGGTTGGGAGAAGAGTTCTGACTCGTTAACTGGATCAAGGAGGACGACCTTTGTAATGGCGGATTGTTACTTTGCTGGAAAGAGTTATACAACACGGTTTTACTGCGGAAAACACGTGCACGCAGAGTACCAATGGGGACAGGAAAAAAGAGGGCGGGACTTCTCCCGCATGACCGTGACCAGCAGGAAGAAGGGCTTCCACGGTGGCCCGGCTCAGGAGAGTAGGTGGAAAAGAAACGTCTGGTGACGGTGGCAGGAGCCGCTGCCCGAAAAACACCATGCAGACA